AAACGTCAGCCTTCCTGCTCCTATGATGCTGCTTGGCCTGCTGTGTTCATCCAGCTCTACACCTTGTTATCTTGTTATCTCAGATTTTCCAGCATCTGCAGTTCCTACTATCCCCAAAAGAAGCCAATATATTATTTTACAAAATACATCCTGATAAATAAAACAGTTCACTCTCTTTCATATGAAAATTAATATAGTTTTGTAAGGACCAAATAATCCAGAAAGTTATAGGCATCAGGCTTTAGTATTGAAGATTTTTAGTACTTCAACACCGGGAGGAGAAAATAATCACAGTGGAATAAACTCACAGGTGACTAATGAAACGCCAAGACAACAATTTGAAAAAGCAATCAATCTTTAACAAAGAGCTTAACAACTTTTAAAAGCACACATAAAATTGCACATAGATTACATGTAAGGAGAAATGGGTCAATGTTTATTTTTAGCATGAATGTGTGTGCGTGAGTGAAAGGCACACGCAAAAGTACGTCTACAAACAGTTCACTTTGGAAGAATTGTCGTTGAACATGAACATAGGTCAGGGTTGGAACTGTAACAATAAAGAGCCTCCCAAAGTTACCCTAAAGTGAATAATACAATACTTCTTTTTCCCAAAGTTGAAACATTAAGTATAGCATTGCAAGTACAACTTACATCTCGGTCAAGAACTCGGCCAGTACTGTTCAAATACAGTCTCTGATTGACAGCATCCAGAAGGACCCAATAGTCATTGTTGCCTTTCAACGATAAAGCAATAGTAGGATTTGAGCCTCCTGCATGACCTGTAATTTGCAAGTTGTCCACCAGAAGTGTTCCTATTTTACACAAAAAGAAATTTTAAAAAGTGGTAAAAATAGAATCTGATGACATAAGATTAAACTGTCATTTCTCTCTCTTTGTATCAGAGAGAATAGCTAACTATGCAATTGCTAAAGGGGAATTTGAGGAGAATAATATTTTGGATTTGCTGTACTTGTGTGGAGCCTCACTTAACAGGAAGGTAAATTGAACTATTGATACAGGAATTATGTTTCCCATATTAAAATCAATAATTGAGAACTGGAAGAGTCATGAAACAGATCTAATAACCTTCATGTACAATTGTGTGGTCTACCTTTCTCTCCGGTAAGTTGGAATTCTAATGGGGAAGTTTTATCACCATCTTATTAATCATGCTTTTGTACTTCTGGGCTTCCAAATAAAAGCAAAGCAAGCAAGTAGCATAGAATTTATATAAGCTAAACAATAAAGTGAATTACTTGGTAGTAACAGACAGATTCTTTGGGGTTATATACAGATTTTAAATGTTGTGCTTAGGTTAAACGTATTAAATTAGAATAAAAGTTCTTCACAATCAAGACTTTCCATCAAAATTACAAACATACGTTTCTGCAATAAAACCTTACGATCATTGTTAATTTTCACACTATTTCAAAAATGCTGAAATAATCTTAGTTTTAATGCTGTCATGAATATTATTAAATCTGTGCACAAAAAAAAATTTGGATCTGCCATTTTCTAACAACTTTTTGTAAAAAAAAACATTGGAAATGCTTGGGTGATAGCACTAAAATGCAAACTTTACACATGAATTGTAGCGGCATATCAATAATCTGTATATACTCCTATAAATTCAATAAATAGAATATCTTGTCAGTCAGTCAACATTTAAAGTTAAATTTGACATACAATTATTCTACCACAGAAAGTTATATAACCAAAATTAAAAATGAATTATTGAAAATTCACTGAGAGTCACCATTCTCATTATAAGAGCACTAAGGCAAGGTGATTCTCACAGTTTGATATGTTATCCATTATTGCTGTATAAAATCAAACAATTGGATGAATTATTTACCCCAAAGCCTCATATTGAATCTAACAAAATGGATAAAGTGCAACTTGCTGCAGTATTTCTCCATTTGGCACCTAGGGCCAATAGACCGTATTTCTCTCTTTTCTCGAGACTACAAGGTGTAGGAGCAGAAGTAGGCTGTGCAGCCTATCGTCTCTGCTCCATCATCCAACGAGATCATGATGTGATAACCCTCAATTCTATGTTCTTTCTTTTTCCCCATAATCCTCAATTCCTTCACTGATTAATTAAAAATCTGTCTTCCTCACCCTTGAATATACTTAATGATGTAATCTCAATAACCTTCTGTGCTGATTCATTATCCTCAGAAGAAATTCCTCCTGTTTGGTCTTAAATAGGTGACCTCTTACTCTGTGATTATGTCCTCTGGTTCTGGATTCTTCCATTAGGGGAATCAATCTCTCAGCATCAACCCCATCTTGTATTTTTCAATAAAGACTCATTAAATTCTTTTAAACTCCAACAAGTACATTCTCAACCTACTCAATCACTGTTTATATGGAAATCCGTCTATAGCTGGGATGAATCTAGTGAACTTTCTCTGGACTGCTTCAATGTCAGTATATCTTTCCTTAGGGAAGGAGATGCAGAATTTTGCAGCTGTGATATGACTTGTTTTTATAATCTATTGCTTTCAAAATAAAAACCAGCATTCCATTTGGCTTCTCTGTTACCTGCTGAACTTTGTATGCTAGCCTTTTGTGATTCAGATACGAAGACTTCTAAAACCCTTGGTGACATGGATTTCTGCAGTCTTTCTCCATTTAAATAATAATCAATTCCTTCATAATTCCTGCTGCCAAATTTTTATCTGCTCATGTAATCCATCTATATCCCTCTGTAGCTTCTTTGTATCATGTTTGTTTTGAGTCCTGAACTATTTTTGTTTAAATGTCTGCCATTGTACATCTGCCAGATAGTACCTGGATAAGTTACAACACCACCTGGTTCATGATATTTATGCTCAAATAAAATCACGCTTGTTCTTATGCTGAAATGTCAATCTTCATCGTGTCTCGCATTGTCTAGACCAATCAAAATGTGGAATTTATTTGTCAGGGTGATGTACACCTGGGATTGGCTGCAGTTCTTGATATAAATGGAGGACAGGTGGTTTCATTCTACGAATAGGTAAACGCTTCAGCCAAATGTAACAGGTTCAATATGGGAGGGGGTAAAAGATAGTGTGGAAGCTGAGGACACAACAAGAACTTTCTTTTTAAAAGAAAGGTTAATGGGATGTTGGCATCACTAGCTCGGTCAGTGTTCATTGCCCATCCAGAATTGCCCAGCATGGGGTGTGGAGTTATATTTGAGTCAGACTTGGTAAGGACATCAGATTTATTTTCTTAAAGGATAGCAGTGAATCAGATTTTTTTTTTAAGAATAATCGGCAATGGTTGCATGGTTGCCATCAGACAAGTTTTTAGTTCATATCGTTGAATTCGAATTTCACCATCTGCCATGGTGGGATTCAAACGCATATTCTCAGAGCACTGGCCTTGGCATTTTTGCCATTCCAGTAACATTACTGCTGGGCGAGTAGATTTACTTCACTTCGAATCCAACAGTACAGAATTATCAGATCGAATTATGCATTTTTAGTGAATTTGCTGTCAAATCTCCAACAAAGAAAGGGGTTGTGAACCTTTTTTTTGGGGGGGTGGGGTGTTGCTGGTGTTTCCCATCTTACACAGAAAATCACAGACTGTTTGAAACAAGTAAAAATTAAACAATTCAAAGTTAGTATATTTGGAGTCAAGTGCAGATAATGAAGCATAACTGAAGTTGCTTTTGAAGTGTGGCACTGTCTGAGCTGCATATGACTTTGTGAACAGTTTTTGGACATCAGATCTGAATAAGGGACATCACTGTTTGAATGAGTGCTGTGTATTGTCATCAGGATGATATTAGAACCACAGGGATTAAGTTACAGAGAGGTTTTACAAATTGGATCATATTTTTGGAATGAATGAGGATAAGGGTTGATTTCATTACGAGTTCACAAGATATTAATGGAACAGTTGGTGGATGTAGTAAAACTATCTCTGCTAAAAAATGGAGCAAGGCATTTTCAGGGTAAAATTAGCAAGCAGTTCTATTGACAAGGGTACTAAAAGTTTGTAAGTCTCTACTGCAAACAATATTTTATGTTAATTCAATTGTTAATTCTGAATCTGAGTTTGATAAATAACATTCCATTGGACAAGTATGAATTGCTATTGTGTGATAATCAGCAGTTGCAATTCCTATCCATTTCCACAGCCCTTCTGGTTTAGCATGTTTTCACACCCCAGAGGATTTATCCAAAGATAAAAAGAGAGTTAGGGTAAATGAAAGTACAGGTTAATGGAGTTAGGTTGCAAAAATCAGACACATCAGATCTAGCTGAATTGACCAAGCTTGATGGGCTACATAATGCCTACTCTTGCTTCTGGATTCCAATGTGGAACATTCTAGATTCTGCACTAAACTAAAAATGATGCAGCAAAAAAGCATAATCAATGTTTTCACAAACAGCTTTAAAAGGATATATTTATGACCATCTGGAATAGACACAATTGTATTATGCAATTGGTATTTTTAATTTTAAGTGGAAACAGAGCATCTATAAGAGAGTACAACTACACAAAACAGAATGTTGCTCTTACTGTACGTGCTTCTTTAAAACTCCGTTACCAATTATTTCCCCAGGCTGCCTGCAAAAGTTGATCCAACAAAAACCAGGCTATAGAGAAACTGGGCATCAAAACTGATGGATCTGAACAGTGGAACTGTATTACTATAAATGGTGCCAGGATGTGCTTTAATGGGGTGATGTCACATCAGCAGCAATTAAATACACAATTGCTTTGCAGTTGTACTGAATGTATGCAAGTGTTAAGTGACAGGTTGTTTAAAATTACTACACCGCACAACCTACACTTCTCCACTTCGCTGTCTTGCCGCGTTTCTACCCAGTGAGTTCCTGTTTCAATTTAGAAAGTATGGTCACCCCAATCTAGTGGGTTCTTTTTTTTAAGGCAAAATTTAAATCATACGACCATGCTGAAAGGTTCCTAACAGAGACTTACTTTCTTTTGTATTGTGTGTAGAGTCACCTGAGATCTCACATTGTGAAAGACTGTCCTTTGTGTAACACAGACTTCCAGATTTTCTCTATTCAGATCATCCTATCTACTTCAGGGAAATTAGGGAAAAATCTGATTGCACTTAAAATAAAAGAAATAGACCCACAACTCTGGCTTCCAACTCACATTTTTCTTCATTGAGGGTCTTGTGAATGAAAAATTATCCATTCCCCAAAGATCAGAAGGTAGTTTCATACCACTTCTATGAGTAATGGTGCACAAAGTGAGAAATTACAGGCCCGAATTTCTGGTCCTGAACACAGTGTGGAGACAGCCAAGGAGCATGTTGAGTGCGTGTTGGGGTGAGCTGTCTCACAGCTGGCCTCAGTGCTCCAGCACATTATCCCAACTGTAAAAGATTGATAACAAAAAGCAGGCCTTTAGCCTTTAACTCCACACACTTCCCCATCCCTGACAACCCATGTCCCTACCCATCCCACTATCCTGCGCATTCTTCATGACAACCTATGTCTCTTTATCTATCTCATATTGTCCTTTTAGGCCTCTGTGCCAATAAGTGTGAACTCAAGTCAATCCACACCCATACCTGCCAACCTTTGCCCTTACGTCGTCCATACTGACTTATCCAGTATCCATCATGTACAGACCTCAGGACCCATACTGAGATTAAATAAAATAAATTCTACGGGCTGCTTTTTTTGTCTTAAGTTTGTGTTGATCAAATATTTTGCAGGGTATTCAACATTAGGTCTAACTTAAAAAAAAAACCTGAAAGAACTGCGGATGCTGTAAATCAGAAACAAAAACAGAAGTTGCTGGAAACGCTCAGCAGGTCTGGCAGCATCTG